ATCCTTGTATATAGTCTACATAATCTAAATAACCAATTCATCGTTTTCGACGAGTACACTGCAATTATTTTGATATATGATTGCAATATTTTGTCTCGCGACGAGTATACTGATCGAAAATAATTGACCGGTGACGAAGCAACCCGATAGAGTATTTTCGGGCGATTTGCCAGAAAATGGCTCCATCCACCCTCCGTGGTCCCGGCTAGATTCTCGCGGGGAGGCCTAAACGTAATCCGACGGAGTCGCTCCGTCCCAGCGAGAATGCAGGCGGGAACGCGACGGAGCTCGCTATTATTATTGACTTTTTCATCTCCGCGGTAATTAAGAACGCTGTCAGTGGTCCATTAAAGCATTACGAGCCGTCTCGACTGTGTTTAAGAAGCAAGTTTCAGGGCATCGCAGCCTCTCAGCCTCCGGGAGCCTGCTAACAATGTCGACAGCCTCCGGTCTCACGGCTGCTACACGCCGATCGTGTATCAAAGCAATCGAAAACGACATAAAGACTACGAAAAACTGCGAGAGATTGTGGAAGACTGTAAAAAAGTATCGTGAACTGTTATCAACTGTTAGAAAGTATGAAAAATCTATTATAAAGCATTGAAAACTATTACGAAGTATTACAAAGCATCAGAAGCTATTGTATAGTATTAAAAAGTATTGAAAACTATTACAAAGGATTAAAAAGCGTTAGAAATTATTATATAGTAATAAAAAGTATTTAAGAACTATTATATAGTATTAAAAACTATTGTATAGTATTAAGAAGTATTAAAAACTATTACAAAGTATTTAAAAATATTAAAAAGTATTAAGAACTATTACAATCTATTAAAAACTATTCAAAACTATTAAAAATTATTAAAAGCTATTACAAAGTATTAAAAGGCCATTCAAAACTATTTTAAAGTATGACAAATTATTGAAAATAATAAAAGAAACTGAAAACGAATGAAATCTACTCGAAACAATGTTCTACTTCGATCTTGTCTCGTTTAATAATTCAAAGTCTTACATAACAATAATATATCATTTAATATGTCAAATTTTGTCCCATTTATCTCGGTACAGAAACGTCCCCGATATTTTCAGAATACGCGAATTAGATCGTGCGTCTGTCTAGCCGCTGTATTTTCTTTTTTTTCTTTCGAACTCTGCGTAGGAGTTTCTCGACACATATTTATTGTTTCAGCTGTGCGAAAAATCTTCGCCTCGTTGTTGCTCCGACGTATTTTCGGAAAATGCTATTCGAAAATTAACGAGCACGTAGCGCCGAGAAAAATGTTTGCAGGTACAGCCAGGAAACGCGTGTCATCCGTGTCGGATGAGCCTTTTTGCTCGAGGTCGGGCCTGAGTAAAAATATTTTTAGAAGTACTGCAAATTGTTAATAAAATCTGTTTCTACGACATATGATTTTCAATTTTTATTTGACGCCACAGCGACAAGTATACGTATTCGAAATAGTCATTCACTTCGCACTGTTAATTAATCATTAATCAAATTAGCGTTCTCTTAAGATGCCCCCGAAATAATTATTTGAAATACTATTCGATGCATCGAAATTTCTATGAATTATTTTATCTCGTAAGATTAACGATAATTGCGAGAGAAAATAAAAAATAAGCTTGTATTCTTCAGTATTTCAATTAACCACCCCAGGTTCGCATTGTAAAATGTGTATATTAAATACCGATCGTACACTTGTGAAATAAAAATTAATCAAGTATTTCATTTGAAAAGTATTTCTTCCACCCTTGAAATATTTGTAATTCAAGTCCGCCCGAGGTATGCGGTCGGTAGCAACGAGGAACGAGGCGTAAAAAAAAAAAAAGAAATAGATTACGCGTGGGCGGATTTTTCAAATCTGCCGCTGACTGCATTAAATCGTCCTACGTACGCCCGGTCAATCTTATTTTAAGTCGGAGGCGTCGTCGCCGAGTTTTCTAGATGGCATTTGCATCCGAGAGGATATCCCCGTGATCCTCCGGAGACAATGTTTAACATTCCGCCTCCTTCGCGGGCGAACCGCCCTGAATATTCATCCGATAATCATCGACGGTAATCGATTCTCTTATCCGAGCAGAAAGACATCGAATGTAATTACTAATCTTTTCCCCCTTTTTTTCTACTTTACCCATTCGTTCGATGAATCTTCAACTTAATTGCGGCCCAACTGGGTCACTTCTCTGTCTCTGCGACAACTGCCGCCGCGATTATCTGCTGTTCATTAATTTATGCATGCGGAACGCGATACGCGATCTTACGAATCAAATTTCTATACGAATTTTCGAAGACTTTTTTTCATCAATTTCATGGTATATATTTCTTCCAAAATTTCTGAACGCGGATAATTCCGTGTGAAATATTTAAATAAAATATTCCTATAAACAGCGATGCTTTAAATTGTGATTGAACATTTTTATCTTTCAATAAAATTAACCGTGAAAAATATATTGTTCGTAATAAACTTTTACCTAATTCAGTTCTAAAAAGAAAATGTTTACTAGATCGAAATAATTAACAAAATAAGTATCTAAAAATTTTATTGTTCTCACATCGAAACTAATTCATTCAAATGATATTATTATATTTAGATAATATAAATATATAATAATAATATTTAGTTTAATCAAATAAATAAGTTTAATATACATAAGGGTAGTTTCATTATGATCCATTCTATAAATTATATGGACGGAGATATCTGTTTCGATTTATTCATTTATCATTATTTACTGTATCAATATGTCATATCGCAATTATAAATAGAATAATTCTAATTAATAATATAGTCACCCTAACAAAATTCAAAATATAATATTACTACCCGCACATACAAGTAGAAAATTTTAAATATGATAATATCTTCACTCGAAATACAACAACTGCTACCTAAACATCCCGTTTTTTAAACGGAAAACACTTCCTTTCTTTTTCTTTCGAGGAAAATTGCGCAGAAAATGTTCCGAGCGGCACTCGCGATTTTAAAGAACAACGGAATGTTTCAAAGGGAACAAAGGGTGTTTCGCTGGCGATTCTCAAGAACAGCGGAAGGTTTGGAACGGAACAAAGGGCATCGTTCCAGCGCAATTAGAAGGGCCAGAAGTTTCGAGGAGCGTTCTTTAATAATCCTCCGCGGATACATCGATTCCCGGGGCAGAAACGTGTACACGTTTAACTGGGTTAAGTGTGTACAAACAGTTTTCCGGCCCCACCATTCCTCCAAAGACGTTAATCGCAGACTAATGTTCCTTTTAAGAGGGTCCGGGCAATCTCCGGCCGATAGAGGGCGAAACGAAAACCAACCCCTTACGCTGGACGCTCTTGAGATTTCTGCGCGTTCGCGTTGCGGTCAGGATAAAAATCTATTAAAAAGTATCGTTCTTGCTTGTACGAAATAATATTTCTCGCGCACGCGTTATTTACGCTGTGCTAAAAAAAAATTATTGATCGAAAAAGTATCTTTCATGTGTCGACGTTTCTATTAATTATCTGGAATAATATTTTAGATATTATAATGGTATTTTACGATCAATAAAATCGTATATTGTAAAATATACGTTTTACAATACTAATTAAATACTTGCGAAATTAAAATTAATTAAGTGGCTCAACTAGTCTGTCATTAAATACAAAAATAAATTACTCTTTCATTTCATACAGAAATTCGAACATTTCTGCCTTTTTACAACGTTTCTTCTGATCACAGAGCGACGCGAGGTGGTTAAATAAAAAAAAAGGAATAAAATGTCGAACATCCAAGGAATCGTCGATGAATAAACAAAAATTGTTGTACGAATGCGAAAGCAGTAGAACTGAATTTCTGCCGGAATGTACGCTATTCGGAGCGCTGTGCTCCGGCTCGAAAGAGGAGAAGACCCGGCTATCTCTATGCGAACGCGACAACATTTTG